CAGACAGCCAAGCTTTCATCCTTCCGTGGTTGATAAATGGTGATAGACTTATTTGGGAAGATAAAAACATTGACTTGTACACGGCCGTAAAAGTCATTGTATAGGCTCTATTGCCTTTAAATATCACCAAGATTTTAGATGGGATCAGAGTGCATGGCGCAACTGAAATAAAGTGGAAAACATCGAATGCTTCTCTATATTTGAGCACAGAAGAAAAGAGGGATAAAGCTTTCAGTGCTGGTCGAATTTCGGATGCGCAATAACTTCGTATTCCGTTAAAAATCGTATGCTATTTTGGATATGTGATTGGATATCAGTCACGTGGCGGGATGTCAGCGCAAAGTGCAATTGCGCTTTTTTTTACTCAAATAGACAGTAATATGCAATTACTTGACCAAATTTTGGGAGGCTTAATTAGTGTTCGAAGATCTGGATCCAAAACTTGACTCTTAATGGCACGCATAGTAGGCAAAGCCTCTCGCCACCGCTCCACATCCGTTTCTCAGAGAGTCGAGAGAAAACAAGGTTCTGATTATTCGTCTGCGCCTGGGAACAAGTAGAGTTACCTAGGTTGATTCTTCAGTGGCCTAGTAGTAGAATAAGAACCCATAAGAACTTAAATTGGCCACCGCACTAGCTCTTTGTAGATGTATGCTATACGAAGTTACGACGCATGTAATATATGCATATTAAAAAAGATAAAGCATTTGCGTTGATCAATCCCTTTTTGGGATGCGGCACGCATTCTACTTCCATTTGTACATTCGTAGTGGCGTTTGAATGCGATGTGGCCTATACAATGACTTGCGGGGGCCAGCCGATGTACAAGTCAGTGTTTTTTATCCTCCCAGACAAGTCTGGTACCAATTAACCGACCCCGGAGGGATGGAAGGCTTGGTTGGCCCGGGCGACTCACGACCCAGGATTTGATCCCGGACCGCTCGCGTGGTAAGCGCGCCACTTGTCACTACACTTCGTATAATGTATTTTATATCACTTAAAACGTCTTCGTTCGTAACTGATCGGGCTAAGCGTAAGATGGGGAGATTGGACTCTAGGATATGAGTAAACGCGTTAGCAGTTTTCATTTTCCCCGCTCCCCTCCTAGGCTCGCTTATGGAGAATGCCCCCGTATCCTGCGATAGCGCCTAGATTAATTTTCAGGTCGCAGCCATACAAACGCGTGCACCTCTTCATCTAAATATACTCTATTTCGGAAGACGAGAAGAAAATCGAGTGCAGACCACACATCATAAGAGACGACGGCCAAGAGAAAAGCTTTTTTTTGGCCGTCGTCTCTTATGGTGTGTGGTCTGCACTCGATTTTCTTCTCGTCTTCCGAAATCGAGGGTATGAGCCCGTGGAACTAAATGACAAACGATTCTTCAAGACCAGATGAATCAACAAGCGATATCTCGAAATTGGTCTCACATGTGTACATATGCGACCGAGAACTGCTGCGTAACCGAGATGTGCGAATGAGTCGAGTGAAATTCCCCGGGGAAGTTGCGGGAAGTATTTCATGAGTGTTGGAAAGCGTTTCGGCGGCAATAGATTGTCTGACAATCTCCAAAAGCGAATGCTCTCCTGAGAATGAGTCGGCGACCAAATGTGTCAAAGAACTATAAACAAGGATCGAAACGACGAGGGAATGTCGTCATTTGCACGCACTGGAAGTGTGCCACCCCTTGGAGCTGGCGATCGAAATGAAGGCAACATTAGCATAATGCGATGAGTGATTGACTCCCATAACATGACTCAATGAGAGTTGTACGAAATCCTCCTACTTGACTCAGAACCTACTTCAACCCCATTTCAAATTTCAAAGTGAATAATGCCAAACAAAAAGAGGGTTTTTGGAGGTTTCGGAGACTTTGCAAGGGCAAACCTGCAGGAAAAATAATTCAATTTGAGTAAAAACATTGAACTTAAAAATTTTTAGGGGGAATAAACACAGAAAGTAGTTTCGCACGTGCCCTTAAGCGGAAGCTAAAATTGTAAAAAAAATCATCTGCCCTCACCAGGAAGGTCTTTCAGGGCGTGCCAAGCTTTCAAAACGGTCTTTTGCATGATATAGGGGCACATGCGGGAACCACAGAACCATGGTTAATTTTTCCTGAACGGCCCTCTGAATACCAGAAAAGGGTCCCTAGTTTTTCACTTCCAATCCCTGAGTCCTTTTTTCGAACTAATCATCAGTGGAACGTGGTAGTGCGTGTGTGGATTGAGGTCAGTGAGCATGCACTTCCCGGCTCAAAACATTATTGTTGTGGCCCAAAACTTGTTAATGAAATTCTAGTATTGCCCTTCTGCCTTGTTATTTCACAAAATTCACGTGTCGCTGTGGGAAACTGTTCACAGATAGTGTTAGAAACGTGGCCCTGTCTAGCTGCACTGAATCTTGATTTATTCAAGGTTCTACTCCCTCTTCCTTTATCCATCACTTCTGCTTATTCTCGCTAAGATTGGAGGGGTAGATTAGAGACAAAGCCACCGCAGCCTTAGAGAATTTCCGACTGCTGAGAGCTCAGCACAATAGGTGGCGGATGCTGAGGGCACCTCTCCAACCTGAACCGCAGCAGCTAGCTCGTGGTTGCAACGAAGGCTATCTACTATTGAACTGAAAAGTACCTCAATCCATTTTGAAAAGTCAGGGAGGGGTGTTAAGGATGAAGCCAGCGTATAAACACACCGGGGAAGGGTTGAAGTGAGTATCTGCAACGATTGGTCTGAACCTGGAAGAGAAGCTGTCGCGGTTACCAAAAGCAGTTGTAAGGAGCTGTGTAGGACCTGGCGCTGGAATTCAGAGCGCTCGATTGTCGTTTATTGGCTGAAATTGGGTTTAAGCGTAATTCCTCGCAAAGGATCTTCGACGTCATTTTCAGACGAGGGCGTCGTAAAGCGCGGAAAGGACGGGACGAAAGGAAAAGAAACCACCGGTGCAACAAGATCTCAGTTAACCTCCCCTTCAGAAAGCGAGAAAGTGTCGGGTGCAGACCAAACACCACAACTGACGACGGCTTCCAAGGTAGATCTAGTTAGAATTCATTCATAGTGATAGCTGATTTCTTATAAATGATAGTTGTAATTAGTGACAATCGATAGAGGCTAATCATTTCATTGGCAGAAAACATTAACATTTTGTGAAGGCCGTCGTCACTTGAGGTCGAGCTGTCCTGGCAACCGACAGCTCTTTGACGAGGACGTAGGTGATGAAGAGCGCATTTGACTTATTGCCCTTACGATGCAAGTTTATTTCGCTCGCGATCATTTTCAGGAAATGGAGTGAGGTTGAAAAGTTAACATCTTCCATTAAAATTCTCCTGTAAGGGTTATGGATTGCTCAGACCACAGATAAAACACTTGTTTTTGGCGAAGGCGTCGTGATCACGAATATGACATAATTTGGCGTCAGCGCCACATTGGTGCCGTTTGGTGCCATTTCCAGATTCTCTTTCTGGCGCTAGCGCCAAAAAAATGAATGTCTCATTTGTTATGGGGACACTGGTACCTTTCGTATGTGAGTTTTCAACGACTTCGGTGGGAACAAGAGTTGCGCCATGACTATGCAATTTTGCTCCCAATTTGGCACGCTCAAAAATATTTGTGGTCAGCGGCAGTCAATCACTCACATGAGAGAAGTTTTAATAGCAAAATTATTTCCCGGCATATTAGGTTGTACAGGGCCAAATTTCGAAGTTATTAAATTGCTCCTCTGATGAAATTGAAGCGAAGGAAGATGCACATGCCAGGGCAGGTGCAAATCAATGAGGGTATGAAAATTTATTTCACCAGAAAAATAAACATTTCAAAACATAAATTGCTACTTAATTTTCATTTCAAAGCCTGTCAATCAACGGTTGCTAACAATGACAGAAAGTATGTACCCTCGATTTCGGAAGACGAGAAGAAAATCGAGTGCAGACCACACACCATAAGAGACGACGGCCAAGAAAAAGCGCTTTTTTCTTGGCCGTCGTCTCTTATGGTGTGTGGTCTGCACTCGATTTTCTTCTCGTCTTCCGAAATCGAGGGTAACAATTTTCTTCGTATCAGCGACGGCTCATGGCTGATATTGTCGCGAGTTGGTTAAAAGTCTACGACAGAATGCCTTTCAGATGATTACGCAGTGGGTACCTCTGGTCAATTTACCATCGCACTTCCGACCGATGAACTTTAGTGGCTGCGGCTTACGGAAGGGAAACGAATCTGGTGTCGCCCATCTCCTAACTTTACTTCTGAATAATTACTGAATGGCAAGTGTTGTCTTACCTTTATCTGAATGGTCTTCCTGTTTACCTCAGGAAGTTGAATTAGAATAATCGTAACGGAAGCTTTGAAGAATTTGCTGAATACTGCTAATACAATACAAGGGCGAAACTTCCCAAAAATTCTGCACCGCTGATGAAGCTTGGATGATGGGTGAAAGGGGTCGACCATACATCTCTAACGATTTTGCTTACAGGATACCCGACGGGCCCGGGCTCGTCGGCGACCGAGTCTAATGGGCGAGCGCGTGCTGTGGTGATTTAGGACTGTAATTCGACATTTTTCTAACCATAAGTGCGCCCCAGTCACTACACTAAGCGCATGCGCTCCCTCGTCCGCTAACTCGTTGCGCCTCTGCCTTCTTGCCGCGTGACGGGCCTCCTGTCGGCATCCATGTTTTAATGATGCCAAGCCGCATCGTAGTAACTTTTTTACTATGTTTATGACACACTCTCTGTACTGGTGTTAGTGATACAGGAAAGGGAAGGTATCATCCATGACTTACATATGAATATATGAGAAGGTTCCTCGAAAGCATCAGGGAATTTTCAATCATGGCAATGACTTCATTGGAAGTGTGTGCAGGTTGCTGCCACTTCTCATCAACGGTTCTGCTTTTCTAATACAAGAATTTGCTTCAAGACGATGTGAAAGAAAGAATGAGAGAATAGTGATGCTCTTGTTGTGTTTCTCAATGACTTCGCGCTCTCAAATAATGTGAACAATTTATTCTAGAATACATTTACAGCTGTGAAATTGGCTCCTTCTTGTAGAGGCAAGCGACCACCATGAGGTTGTCTCCTCCCTTTGTGTTGAAAATGCCGTCGCATCCGTAGAGTGTTCCACGGGGCAAACGCTTGGAGCTGAATGTATACGTTTCATGAGTTTCCTTCCATGTTCCATTCTTTTTGAGATATAGGTTATGACCTTCGGCTGCATTTGGAGCGCTGGAGTGGAGAATTGAAACATTCACGT